TTTTCTCTTTCATGGATGGTTTCTCAGGTTACAATCAAATTAAGATGGACCCAGAAGACATGGAAAAGACAACTTTTGTGACAATGTGGGGTACGTTTTGCTACAAGGTGATGCCCTTTGGACTTAAGAACGCCGGGGCAACATATCAAAGAGCCATGGTTACGTTGTTCCACGATATGATGCACAGGGATATAGAAGTGTACGTGGATGATATGATTGCCAAATCACAAACTGGAGAAGAACATGTAAAAGTCTTAAGGAAACTATTTTTAAGATTAAGAAAATACCAGCTCAAGCTTAACCCAACCAAGTGTACATTTGGAGCTACTTCAGGGAAGTTATTGGGATTTGTAGTCAGTGAGAATGGGATAGAAATAGATCCTGATAAAGTCAAAGCAATTCTGGAATTACCTCCCCCTAGAACGCAAAAGGAAGTACGAGGTTTTCTGGGAAGGTTAAATTATATTGCCAGATTCATCTCTCAGTTGACCGAGAAATGTGATCCAATATTCCGATTACTGAGAAAGCAAAACCCAGGAGAATGGGATGATAGTTGCCAAGAATGCTTCGATAGAATTAAGAGTTACTTAATTACTGCTCCTGTCTTGATGCCACCAATCCCAAACAAACCATTGATTTTATATTTGACTGTCTTTGAGAAGTCAATGGGATGTGTGTTGGCCCAACATGACGAAACTGGAAGAAGAGAGCGAGCTATTTACTATCTCAGTAAGAAATTTACTGACTGTGAGACTCGATATTCCTCTATCGAAAAGCTGTGTTGTGCTTTAGTATGGACTACTAAGAGGCTGAGACAATATTTGTTGTATCATACTACCTGGTTGATATCAAGACTGGATCCGTTAAAGTACCTGATGGAATCAACGGCTCTAACTGGAAGGATGGCGAGATGGCAAATGTTGTTGTCCGAATTTGATATAGTCTACATGAACCAGAAATCAGTTAAAGGAAGTGCTATTGCAGATTTCCTGGCAAGCAGAGCATTAGAAGACTATGAGCCAGTAAAATTTGATTTTCCGAACGAGGACTTGATGAGTATATTTGTTACTGAAGAGGATACTCCGAAAAATGAAACATGGAAAATGAACTTCGATGGCGCTTCTAATGCTGTGGGACATGGAATTGGGGCAATACTAGTTTCACCTGAGGGAGATCATTATCCTTGTACTAGTAGGCTCGCCTTTGAATGCACTAACAATATGGCAGAGTATGAAGCATGCATCTTGGGTATTCAAGCTGCAATTGAGCGCAAAGTTAAAAGCCTAGAAGTATTCGGCGATTCTGCTCTGGTTATTTATCAGCTTCGCGGGGAATGGATGACTCGAGATTCCAAGTTGATAGAATACAAGAACTTAGTGATGGAGTTGATCAAAGAGTTTGAAGAAATTTCTTTTGCTTATCTTCCTCGTGAAGAAAATCAAATGGCAGATGCCTTGGCTACGTTGGCAGCTATGTTTAAGGCCGATGATCAATCTCGAATGATGCCTATTTGGATGAGTATAAGAGAAATGCCAGCTCATTGTTGCAACATAGAGGAAGAAGAGGATGATAATCTCCCATGGTATTATGATATTCTCCAATACGTAAAGTATCGGGCTTACCCGGCAGAGGCAGCGGAGAATGATAAACGGACCTTAAGAAGATTAGCAATGGGGTATGTCCTTGATGGAGATATATTGTATAAAAAGGGCAAGGATCAGGTGCTTTTGAGGTGTGTGGATAGAATTGAGGCCAAGAAAATACTTGAGGAAGTCCATGAAGGAGTTTGTGGAACACATGCTAATGGATTCACAATGGTTAGAAAAATCATGAGGTTTGGGTACTATTGGTCCACTATGGAAGGAGATTGTATCAGATTTGCTCGAAGATGTCATAAATGCCAGATCCATGATAACCAAATATATGTTCCTCCTTCACCACTCCATGTAATGAACGCACCTTGGCCGTTTTCAATGTGGGGCATTGATGTCATTGGGGCAATTTCACCGAAGGCCTCAAATGGACATCGTTTTATCTTAGTGGCTATAGACTACTTCACCAAATGGGTTGAAGCTGCCTCTTATGCTAATGTCACAAAAGGAGCAGTGTGCAGATTTCTAAAAAGAGAAATCATTTGTAGATATGGAACACCTGAAAGGATCATCACAGATAATGCATTGAATTTGAACAACGATTTAATGAAGGAAGTTTGCACAAAGTTAAAGATCAAACATCACAATTCGGCTCCTTATCGCCCAAAAATGAATGGGGCAGTAGAGGCAGCGAATAAAAACATCAAGAAGATCATCACAAAAGCAACTGAAACATATAGGGACTGGCATGAGAAATTACCTTTTGCATTGCTTGCTTATCGCACGTCCGTTCGTACATCTACTGGGGCAACACCATTCTCTTTGGTATATGGGATGGAAGCAGTTTTACCTATTGAGGTGGAAATACCTTCTTTGAGAGTATTGATGGAGTTGAAACTAGACGAGGCTGATTGGGTACAAAGTAGGTTTGATCAATTAAATTTGATTGAGGAGAAAAGGCTGAGAGCTATATGCCATGGCCAAATGTACCAGAAAAGGATGATACGAGCATATGACAAGAAAGTCAGACCTAGGGAATTTCGTGAAGGTGATTTGGTACTAAAAAAGATCCTACCTATGCAAAAAGACTTTCGAGGGAAGTGGATGCCGAACTGGGAAGGTCCCTATGTTGTAAAAAAGGCATTCTCAGGAGGAGCTTTGGTGTTAACAGAAATGGATGGAGAAGATTTGCCTAATCCCGTGAATTCAGATTCGGTCAAGCGATATTACACTTTAAAAAAAAAAAATGAAAAAAAAAATGATGATGAAAAAATGAAAAAAGAAGAAAAATAAATAAAGGAGGGTTCAAAATGAAAACCCAAAATGGGCATCTTGAAACCAAAGGAGGATTCGAGTTGAAAATCCGTAATGGACGGCTCGAATAATCAGAAATTGAAATGGTGGATTCCCTCGGAAGCCTAACGGTTTAGGGAAAGACTCTCATGCTCACACATCTTTTGTACGATCTGAATCTTCGAAACACATGTCAACTTTCGAGAAAGATTTGGGGTGAAGAAATAGAAGGACTCAGCATTTGATATTCACTATATTTGTCCATTGTTTTTCTTTGTATATACTTGCTTTCTTGTCCCAAAAGATTGTACTTTCTCATTATCTATCTTCAGTGAAATTTTTGAATTTGATTCAATGTCCTCGCATATATTCACTAAATTACTAATCAATAACAACATCAGTTACTATGCTTTACTCTGAAAAGTGTCAGATTATGGGGATTTTGAAACAGGTGTTCACCAGAGAACACATGCAAAGGCACGCTCCCATCAATCATTAAACAAATCATTGAGGAAAAAGAGGGTTTAAATCAAAGAAATCAGTTTCAACATAATCATACTGTTCCCAAGCAAAGAAGTCCCAATTTAAAGGCATGTAACAAGGAGAGTCCATTCTGAATGAATTTTCTCTGAAAAATCAATCAATGACCAAAGAATCAAAGATGCAAGATAAACTCTCTCGGGGTAGATCAGAAGGACCAAGTCAAAGAATATTTAATGAGAGGTCAAGAAAGTAACCAGGCATGGATAAATGCGTAAATATCGCATGTTTCGATTAAAGAGTATGAGAAGAGTCTCAATGCCAGGAACGAACTGAGCATAACCCTTTAAACATGCATTTAGATCATTCTTAGAGCATATTGATAACATGAAATCATGGCATATAACCATTTTTACAGGATCTTCAAGACTTATTGAAGCATTGAATCAATCAACATCAACTGACCGGACTTCCTCATCACGTAGGAGCCATGTCAACCATAGATAACCAGCCGTCCTCATCACGTAGGAACCGTGTTATCACCTTTAGATGGCCAGATCTCTTCATCACGTATGAGCCGTGTCAACCATAGATAACCAGCCGTCCTCATCACGTAGGAACCGTGTTATCACCTTTAGGTGGCCAGAGTTTCATCAGGTATGAATCGTGTCATCCCCAGACCAGATCTCTTCATCACGTAAGAGCCGTGTCAACATTAGGATAACCAGCCGTCCTCATCACGTAGGAACCGAGTTATCACCCTTCCTAAAGATGACCAGATTTCCTCATCACGTAGGAGCTGTGTCACCCTTAGACGACCAGACCTCTTCATTGCGTACGAGCAGTGTCGTCCCCACCAACAAAATTATCCATTTTTTTAAACAAAAAGGAGGAGGACCAGACAAAAACGTGTTTTCTTGTCGTCTTTGCCCTATTCTTGTTAACACAAGAAGGTGCAAAGAGGGGCAGCTGTAGACACCCGTTTTTGTCCGGGTTTTTTTTCCGTTATTTTATTATTATTATTATTATTATTATCGTTATCTTATTATTTTATTATTATTTATTATTACAATTTTTGCAGGCCTAATCCCTAAGCCCAATTCAGATTACAAAGGCCCAATCCCGGAGCCCAACAACCCGAAGCCCAAAAGGCCCAATCCCGGAGCCCAACAACCCGAAGCCCAACTCAGAATTGGCCCAATCCCGGAGCCCAGCAGCCCGTCAGATTAGGGTTTCAAACCCTAAATCAGATTAGGGTTTCAAACCCTAAAACAATTTAGGGTTTCAAACCCTAAAACAGATTAGGGTTTCAAACCCTAATCCCCTACTCAGCCGCCACAGCCGTTTGACCTTCATTTTCCCAGCCGTTCAAGCTGGCTGCTTCCCTCACCGCCGCTGTCATCGGAGCTGTGAGGAATTCATCCATCCAACAGTGACCGGTCCCTGTAAAAACAGTAACCAAATCAAAGAACAGTGGCCTAAGCTTACCCCAAATCTAAAAACCCATTAAAATAACACCCGAAAATCCCGAAAAATCTGGATTTTATTCACCCAAATCAGAGAAATCAAATCCTATCTACCTAGATATCATCATCATCTCAATGGAAATCCACATGCAAGCAAGGATAAAAGAAAAAGAAGAGTAATCCAAAAGGGAGGGAGATTTCGAAACAGAAAAAAAAAAACGAAAGAAAAAGAAAAAACCAGAGAAAATATAGAGAGAAAAAAAAACAAAGTGAGGGAGATCTTACCCTTGTAGAAAGCCTCGTCGTCGTAGCCTAGCCAGAGCAGAGAAGGCCGTATTGAAGGTAAACTTTCCCTTATGTTGGATCTAGGGTTTTCGAACAGAGGTTTCGGTTTTTGCTTGGGGTAGGAGAGGGGTTATTGTTCAAAGGAAGAGAGGAGGGGTGGTCATGGTTTGATTTCTCAAGCCATCGCCGCTGGCTGCGGCGGCCGTGGCCTTTTTTATTTTTTCTCCACGGCGGAGACAGAGGCGGGGAAGGAGAGAACTTTGAGAGCATTCTTTTGCTCTCTGTTTTAAGAAGGGAAGAAGTAGAGAATGAGGGAATGAGGAAGCCATCCCGTTTTAGGGCTTTAACGTCTCCTGTGAAACGACCGTGTTTTAGGGGAAAGGGTTCTGTATTTTCCTCGTGTGGGTTAACTACACTTTTAGTCCCTAGGGTCTTGTAATCATATTGTTAAACCATTAAATGAAATGTTAATTTCTTTGATTTCGAGCAATAAGTTTTCAGAACTTATAATCTAGTACCGTTATGGTTTGTTATGACATTTCTGTTAACATTCGATTTTGGTCACGACATTTGTAAGTATTGTAATTTAATCACCGTATGAAACTTGGTTTAACTGCTGTTGTATCCTTATGTTCCTGTTTTATTTCATTTTTAGTCCTATACGTGATTTATGGGCTATTTTTAGCTTAGTACATATGCTATTTAGTTTTTTTAGTATGGACTCTGATTTATATGAAATTGCTATTTTAGTTTTTATTTTCTGTTTCTTTCATTGTAGTCCTTTAAATTTCTGATTTTACCATTTTGGCTCTTTGAGTTTATGTGTTTGTTATTCTAGTCCTTTGTACTTGCTTTTTGATCATTTTATCTTGGTTTATAATATTTACTTATTTTCATTGTAGTCATTTATATATGAATTTATTATTTGGTTATTTGTATTATGTAAATAATGTTGTTTGTTTCATTTAATGTAAAGATTATACTTCGCATATTTTATTTATATTTATTTCCATTGTATTTCTCTATTGTATATTATTCGAATAATTTCAAGAACACATATTTATAGAACGGGCGTGGAAAGTATCACTGGATCGAGGTGGTACAATCCGATACGACGTTCAAACTAAATAAATAAAAATGCAAATTCTTCCTTTTACAAGCTTATAGAAATTATTTTTATTGTTTTTATTTTTTGATTAATTTATTTGATGGTCATATTGTTTAATATTTAAATTTTAATCTTTATTATTATTTCTTCATTGAATCTTAATATGAGTGATGTATGTTTTGGAAAAGTATAATATGATGTATTTTATGTCAATTTTCGTCGTTATCTTTTAATTTAAAGAGAAAATATTCTTTACAAGTAAGATATAGACGAGGTAGCTTTCCCCGGTGGAAGATTGCAAATCTCGAGATTTCTTATCGAGAAAAGGATTTTTTTATTTTAACTAATATTCAATAAATAAATCACAATTTATTTATTATTCTATTTTCATAATTTTCATCGTATCAATGGTTGTTATGTTAATATTAACGGTACATAAAGTAAGCATATCGTATTTTCTACTCATGACGATATTATTTAGTGGTAATTAAAAGATAGGATATACTTTATAGATAAGAAATAGATGAGATAGCTTTCCCGTTGGAGGATTGCAAATCTTGAGATTTCTTACCAAGTGAAGTATTTCTATTATTTTATTTTAACAAATATTCAATAAATAGATCATATTTTTTTCTTCATATTCAAATTGTAATTTCCACCATTTACGACGATGTGTAAGCGACACAGTACCAATTTTGGGCGTTGTGGGGGTGTTTATCCTTCCCCACACGTAACCGACTCCCGAACCTGTTTTAAATGAATCTTTGGTAACGTAGACCAAATTTTTGTCTTATAAAATTATTTTTCTTAAAATTGTTTTTAAAAGACGTTTTTGGGTATTCGACCTACCTAACCCAAAGGTCGATGGCGACTCTTTTAAATTTTATTCAAATCCGTTCAAAATCATCAATTTTTCCAAAATAAAGTCGTAATCGTTTTTAAAATAATATTTAATTGTTTTACAAAAAAATGGTTATGACACTTGGTGTGCATTCATTTACAATGTCTGGGAGAAAAGAAATAGACGCATATTTTACTTGGTTCTATTAGAGAGATTGTTGGTGCTCAACTTAAGAATAGAGATCTTAATAGACTTGACAATGTTAATATGCTTCTTTGTAACAATTGGAGTATAAACTAACCATTTTTTGTTGTATATAGTATTTTTTTTATCCTTGATTGGAATGTTTTGTTGTAATACCCCAAATTTTGGTTAGTGATCAAAATGTAACTTTTGAAAGTTTGATGGTCAAAGTATTAAACTTGGAAGAAATTTTAGGAAATTAAGTGGTAAAGTTCTTGAAAAGAATTTTATTTCATAAATAGATAGTTTACTATTGAGAGTGGGGTTTTATGGAATTATATTTGGAATTTGGAAAAGAAAAATTAGAAATGGTTAAAACCGGTAAGGAATCGGTAATTTCAGATTGAATTGGAATTTTACAAAAATTTGAAGGATGTTATAAAATGGTTGGAAATATTATTTTAATATTTTGGATCAAAGAAATTTGGTCTGAAAATATGGAATTTTTCAGATTTAATTGAAACAGTGAAATTTGGTGACTAAAATGCAAGTTTTGAAATTTCATGGGAAAATTTGGAAATTTAAAGTCAAAATATGTCATCTTTGACTTTGAATTATGATAAGGATGAGTTGTCATGGTTTTATGGTAAATAAGAAGACTCATTAATGGTAAATTGGTCTTATCCCAATTAAGTGAATATTATATTCATTTAAGTGGATTATAATGTAAAATATTATGATATGCACCCAATATATCATTTCAATTGTTCATCTTCTTCTCCCAAAATCAGCCGTGGGTTTCTCCAAAGGTAAGAGAAAATTCCAACTCCATTTTCAAGCAATTTGATTCAATATTTTGTGTAAGTTGTAAATAGAAAATTGTTGTATGTGAAAAACTCTATCTTTTGGTACCAATATGGTATGGTAATCTTGTTGGTGTTCAAAGATCCTAAATTTAAGAGTTTGTGTTCATAAAAAAGGGATCATGAAATTGATGATGGATTTTGATGTTTGTGAGGTAGTAGATTCATATGCAAGCATGTGTAATGATTAGAACATGTTTGATCTTTTGAGAAGGTGTTCTGTGAGTTTTGATCATGGATTGTTTGAGTGAGAAAAATTATATATGAGTTGGAAATGATGAAGGAAGTATTATACAAGTCTTAGAAAAATTGGGGATCATTTCGTAAGTTTTGAAAAGTTGGAGATCAATTCATAAATTTTGGAAAATGGAGGGATTGTTGTGTAAGTGTTATATAATTGATGTGCTATACTGAAATTTATTGGTTAATAAATGGTAAGCATGAAATTAAGCTTACGAGCTTAAGAAATTAATGGCAAGTATATTGGTAAGGAATTTTATATTTAGTTATATTATTTTTTATCATTGTAAAATATTGGATATGCTGATAATATGATTGTAAGGTGTTTGGTTTTTATAATAAAATTATACATGATTTATATGACATTGTATTTTTATAATATTATTTATTATTTTAAGAAAATAAATTTTAAATAGCTTTTGAATTTTGAAATGTTTTTTTTATACGGATGACATCTATAATCTGTATAGGTATAATTATACGAGTTATGAGTGTTACATTTGTAATGAACTAATAATAAAATCTTACTTATCTAAAAAAATAATATTGAGAGAGAGGGGGGAGAAAATATAAATTTAAAGGTCAAATAATGATTTTAGTCCCTATACTATTACCCAATTCTATATTTAATGTTTATACTTTTACGAGACACAACGTAAAAAATATGCTATTTTTAATTATGTCTTTAAAGTTTTTTTAATAATTTCAATTTAAAAGCTTTAATTTTTTAATAATTTCAATTAAAAGTTTTATTTTTTTAATAAATTAACTTTAGACCGTTAATTTTTTTTTTTAATATAAAGGGCTTGAAAAGCTATTACGTAACTAACATGCTGTGGCTATCCTTAACAAGAATATCTTACACCTCCATTGGCGGTTCAGCAAACACCATTTCTCTAGCAGGGATCTTCCATGCTAATTTGGCAAGACTATCAGCTACCTTATTACTCTCCTGGGGTACATAGTTGAAATGTAAACGATAGTCACGTTGGACTAGGGACGTGATATGTGGCACCATCGCTGACCTGTTGTGTGAATCCTGCATGCTACTGAGCACGGCGATCGCCTCTTTACTACCAGTCTCAACTATAATATTACGTAATTTCCTCCCCCAAGCAACATGTAGTCCCATGTAAATTCCCCATAACTCCGCATCAAGTACCGAGCAGCATCCAATTTTCTTCGAAAAGCCTATTACTCACTCACTGGATTGGTTTCGAATAATCCCTCCACAAGTAGTCAAACCAGTCGAACTATGCCTCGCCCCATCAGTGTTCAGTTTCATCCAGCCGACTGGGGGAGCTTTCCAAACAGCATCTCTGTTAACACGCGGATAGCGGATAGCCCTCTATAGGTCTCTCTTATTAATAGCAGTAATCGTTTGCTGTTGCAGACGGATACTTTGCTGTAAAATAGTTTCGCTGGCTATGAAATCCATGTCGAAGATACATTTGTTGCATCGATTCCACAAACACCATATCATCGACCCAAACAGAGGTCCCGTTTCTCACCATTGATCGGAAAATAGCTATTGAACATTCTGGGAGGATATGTGAACAATTTTCTACAGTCGCTCCACATATCGAGCAGCTAGCGATAGATAGGCAAACCATATTCGGAATGCAGTCTCTAATCAGATCCCACCTCCATTCCCCA